ATCTCTAACATTCTGTGATTCTGTGTGCCCTTTTTCAGCCACTGCCACTCCAAAAGAAATGAGGGACTTTATGTCCTTTATGCTTTCTTGGTCACCAATTCAAGTAACCCTGCTAATTGATGTGTTATTATTTTAAGATACAGGACATACGGTAGACATTTTGTATACAGAGCAGGTAGAAGAAGTCAGAATGCTTGTGATAATATGAACCGTCTAGTTTTGTTATAATGAATAGGAGATCATTTTTCCCCACTTCCTATCTGTTTAATTTAGTATTTTTGATTTTTTTTTTTTTTCTTCAAGGAGAGACTGCTATGGTAATACCTTCAAATACAGACACAAATGGTGAATCTGCACAAAGCCTGTATACACCAAAGCAGGTGATTTCTCTTGTATCTTCATGTGGTTTTCATTCTAGTAAAACAGACAGAATTAATGCACAGACCTGAAATAAGGTCATCTCTGCTGCAATTCTACAAACTACTGTGCTTTCATCCTCATCCCACTAAACTGCGTACTTAGGACAGAGGTGGGAGGAAAACAATTTTTACTGTGTACATTTGATATATGTTTTAAAAATACTACAAAGGACATGCTGAGAGCAAAACCCACATCTACCAGTGGGTCACTGATTGACTGGGAGTCACTATTTCATTACAGTTGTGAAAAAGGTAATGCAGTGCTATAACGCACCACACAATTCTAAGTTCAAGACGGACACTGAAGCAATAATGCAGCTATACCAAGATGGCATATAATTCTGTTCAAGAAAGATTAACTCAAATAAGAATTAGCATGGAGAAAAGCTATTTGGATGACTGGGGAGTGGAGAAGACATCTTGTAAGAAGCCCCCTAGAGACTTGTTTAGAATTGGAAAGAAAACTGTACCAATAACAAACAGGTAGGAAAAGAATGACAGCCTATAATAAGGTATGCGTCTATGGGTCAGGAGTTGCCTGGCTCGGCCCATGCTCATTCATGGCATGGCTCGTAACACGCTGACACTTCACTTAGTCTGCTGGCATAGACTACGCACAGAGAAGACGAGTTCTAAGCCTATCCATATATCTGCAGTCAGATGTCAGCCTCCAACGACAAAACTGAACTCATAGCAGGAAGGTGTGAGGTAGCTGTTAACTACATCTGACTGTCTGCTTTGCCCTTAAGTGGATTTGAAACTCACAGTCAGACACCACATCTCAGCTGAGAGGCAATTACTAATTGTTGAGCACTGGACTTCACATCTGCCCAGCATGTACTTTGCCCAGCATAAAGTACATGCTTAGCTATGTGATGACAGGCTTTGTCCACCTTCATTTACTTTACAAATGTTCAGCTTCTGCCCAAGTGCACACTAGTGCAGTGTACACACATGTTCAAGGGAGGCTGGAATCAAGTTTAAGTGCAGGAATATGCTACCCAGTCAGTACAACAGTGGCATAATGACAAGTATGCAAAGTTGATCATGAACAACTCTCAGGGATTAAAATCTGTGTGTGGGATTCACTGGGCAGAAAAATGTTTTTTTACTATTAGAGTAGTTAAAAATACTTTACAAAATATAGAACAGAAAATACGTATACACTGTGTTTCAAAAAAAAGTTAACATCTCGCTGAAATCCTGCTGGTCAGCTCTGAACATGACCCTCAACGCATGCTGGACCATCTCTTGAAGAAGCAGACAGTTTGTGACTATGGAACTTAAAAGAATTCTGAAATACGATATATATTGTACTCTTGTATCCTCACAACACAGAAATGGAGCATGTAGCTTAACAGACCTGGAAAAGTTACATGGACGTAGGTCACCTTTACTGGCATCACAGCAATTAGACCTGGTGTGGAACACCGCTAGAAAGACTAACCAAGGAATAAGAACTCTGACATCAACATGACTAGGGATATAAACAGAAGTGAACAAAAAAATCAAAACCATGGATTTTTAAAAGAAAAAAACCACAATACTTGCCCAAGAAAACAGTCTGTGTCATTCATCCACTGGTTTATGAACTGTGCAGTGATGGGCTCAGGATTGTGTGGAAATCTGATGTTCTCTAAGGTGTGCAGAAGTAGGTCAGGATTGTAGTAGAGTGCAGCTATGGCAACCTGAAGACACATGGTACGAAGCTCGCTTGTTTTAACTCCTCTAGTTAACCGCTCCAGAACAGCCTCCACAAAGAGTGGAATACACTGGGCATATAAACATAAAGGAAGAAAAAAGGAAGTCCACATATAACCTAGGAATGCATTCTATTAATTCTTAGTATGAAAGCATTTTAAGCCTCTGATCACATGCTTATAAAATCTTCCCCAAATAGCTATTCTCTGAGCTAAAAATTACCAGTGTTATTCTCAGCACAGAGGAGAATATTTGGGGCCATTTAGTGGAATTTGTTCTAGCATGTATAAAAGGTTTAGAAAAAAACTCAAAGACATTCTCATCTTTTAATAAAGATACTCAACAATTTCAAAACTAACAGGCATTAAAAATGAAATTACCTAAATCTGCAAGAAAAAGAAAATAAGTTTTTCCTAATAAACGTACAGTGATGTTACATTTCTTACGAAAGTTTGAAATGAGTGAGTTTATTCAGCTAAAAGCAAGTATGCACTGATTTCTACACAATGAAATAAACATACATATTTGTTTCAATGTGCAGGTTTATGCTTTATAATAATTTGGGAAACATTATGAATGTTTTAGTTTATGAATTTAAGTTCAGTGTGCAACCATTTTAATCCACAAAGTTGTGGCACCTTCCACCACACACTTATTTCAATGCAAATGCATACAATTCACTTTAATCCCTTCCAGATTTCTTTCAAAAATAAAATCTTTCAGGAAACATTTTTATCTTCAATTACTTCAGGTTTAGATTAGTAAAGTTATATTGATTTCAGCGAAATTACTGAAAATTTATTACTGAAGTCCATGGATTGCACTGTGGCAACATCAAACATGATATGTTAAAGTAATTTAGGCTGGAGCGTTGTGCAAAACATAAGACCAAAATTTAGCCCTTAATAGAAAAAAGACTACTATCTAAAAGTGTGTTCAAAGAAACTTTGTAAAATTATGATCGTGTTTTTCTCAGAAATCACAATCCAGCCACACTAAAAATTCTTCATTTCCAAATGCACAGAGCAATTCAAAATGTTAAAAAGAACCAAGTTCATACTGCTTGAAGAAACAACCTCGGTAGCTGGGTATTTATGGTTAACCTCTCAGACACTGCAGATTTAACAATGTGTGTTTTGCATCAAAAGGGAAATCCTATTAGGAGAAAGCAAAAACAAGCAATCCTGCACATCATACGATATCCTTACCATTTAGTCTATATTCATTTGCCAGTCACGCTCACTAATCTTTTACTGGAAACCAGTAAAAGAGAAAGCCTGTTCAATATATATCACCTGGTCAATACCGCGTCCTTTGCACTGAAGAACGATTACTTCTAGGAGTTTGGCGGCATGGCACTCTGCATCTTCTCCTGCATCTCCTGTTAATACCTAACAATCAGAATGACAATTCAGTTTACCAGCATTAATTGCAGACAACTTGGAAAGCAAGTGCTCCTGTACCTGCATATATCAAAAAACCTCTACATGGCATATACCTACCTATTCATGCTATATTTTGTGAGGAATTAAGACACACAAAAAATAATCTCTTCAGGACACAAATAAGGATAAGTGTCTAAAGATTCATTTAAAAATTTAGAAGGAATTGTTATAGGTCTTTATGAATGCCAGTATTCTTTATATGTCATTGGTTTTCCTTTTTTAAAAGAAATCATACTTAGAATCATTAATGTTTTCCACATTCTGTTTTCATTTTTTGGCTGCAATTCTAATAGACACTGGGAGAGATTAACAGCCTGGCAAAGTGAAGTCCTACGTCTAGGCTAGTTTCTGATTAAAAACAAGATGTATGCAATCACTCTATGTATGTGCTTATATGTGAAACTGACTGCTTCTTCTCAGTACATTTCAACCCTATGGTCATTGTCAGTCAACCCTGACAAAGAAACAGAATTCTCAAACGCATTCAATCTCTGTAAGTTTCTTAAAAACAGGCAGGTAGGTAGATGTCTATAATGCCCAAAATCAGAGAAAGGCTGCAGTGTGATCTCATACTTTATTATACATGAGAGAATCAGCACAAAAGAGAAGCATTATAAATGTAGGAAGTACTTCAAATGAGTTCACACCTTAGCTGAGAACTAGAGAATCCAATCGCAGGATACACAACCCAGGGAAATCAGGCTTCATTAATTCATCTACTTATCAAAATAGCTGTTCACAGAAGAGAGTCAAGATGAACAGCAACCTTCTCCCACACAGATTTGTGCACATAATTTTTTAAAAAGCATGACACTTAAAAAGTGCAAGGGTGCTATGCGTACTCAGAACTGATCTGCGACCAAATTTCATTTTGTTCTGAAATGACTGGCTGCCACCTGGCATGTTCAGGTCACTCCACTAATCTGACTGTGAAGTACCACTGATAAGCACAACAGTAAGAATCAGAAGCCTTACCTTTTTACACATAGCATAAATTATTTCTAAATGCTTTGGATTAGACAGTAAGGTATCAGTGTCAATGGTCACATAATTATGCAAGAGAGGCATCATATCTGCAGAACAGAGAGAGTCAAAGAAAAGAAAAATTACAAACTAATCCACGCAAGCAATAACCATTGAGGCTGTAGTCCTATAATGGGATTCATTAGCTCAGATTGTGGATATGGTTGGAAATTCAAATTCTGCAAAACTCTATGCTAGCAGAATTCTTCATAAAGTGCACCATGCAGAGTGCATTCTCAGTAAAGGGAACAGAATAGGACTACATTTTAATTAATTAATTTGTAGTTTCACATTAACTTTGTATATTTCAGCTTTCTTTGAGTTCAGGACCTCCTTCAATAACTAATCACACTGACAGATTTGAACATGCTTCTCCTATTTAAATATGCTCCTGTTATACTCCCACACTAAACAGACAGTCAGGGCATGACTCAAATACATGATCATTTTAAAGCAAGACACTAAATGAAAGCAACCCTTATTAAGGTGGGTTTTAGAGATAAATTCCCAAACAGCGGAAACATCAATAGAAGTGATCATACCTGCAAAGTACTCAAAGCAATCCTGCTGGAAAACCTCATATAGAACACCTAAAAGCTGCCACATTTGAGGTGAAATCATCTGGCATGTCAAGCTGTAGGCCAAGGAGAGAATTTCTTCATAAAACTCTGCAAAGGAGAATCAATTTGAAGTAGAGTGCTTTAAAAAATAAATGTAGGTTGCAAAAACCTTGAAATTTGAAACCAAGCCCCAAGTCATATAACAACTAGAAGACAGCAATTAGTAACTAAATAGTAGAAAAATAATACAAATTGGAAAAGACTTTTGAATGGGCCTTATGTTGGCCATAGTTACAAAAATCTGCACAGTTTTTCATTATAAGTACACACCAAAAAAATACATTACCAGCACATCAAAGACACTGCTTCTAAATGATTTACTGAAAAATACTTTTATTATATCAACCCCTATTTTTTCTTAAAGGCCTTATCACAAAACTGATTAGCTCTTCAGTGCACAGTACCGATAAAGTAGTAATTTAATTGCAGACCTTGTCCATAAAATCCGAATGTAATTGTAGATGTTGTCCTTTAACACAGCTAGCTAGAACTCTAATCAGAACTGCATCTTCTGCTTTTGAGTCAGATCTCCAAAACACAATAACCAGCCTGACTAATGTACAAGAAGAGATCAAGAGAAACAAATCATAACTGAAAATTAATGTCTTTTTTTTTCTTTAAAGAAGCACACACAAAAAAAAGATTAAGTTCTGTTCAGGAAGATAGTATTGTTTGCAATAATTAATTTAACATTTTTTTAATGTAAAACATGTAACGCTTTTCTAAAAATTATCTCCAAAACACACCTATAACGTGTTTCTGCAAAACGAGGCCAATGATCTGTAAACAAATGCTCTCAAGCTGTTGAGTTATCTGAAATAAAAACATAAAGCAGTTTATTTAAAAACTTAGAAATACAGTAGTTTAATCAACGTATTTGACTAATTCAGTCTGAGAAGTTCTTCAAAGTGAAATGGCTTTTATCACTTTTTAAATGCTGCATTAACAATCACAATATTATGAAATAAGGTCTCACAGATCTAAGTACTTAAATTTTCAATTAACAGTATTGCTTTAAAACTTGTCACTTGCAGAATTTTTCTTTGTTTTAAAAGAATCTTATTTTATGGTTATTCTACAGATCCTATCAAAACCTGCATCTCATGTCCTGTCTGGATACAAAGAAAGACCATACTCAAAGTGTTTGCTATAAAGCCTCTGTGCAAAATCTTTGAAGTAGAATGGGTTAAAAGGAAGAAAGGAAAAGATGCTTTTGCCTAAGGTCTATGCAGAGCTTCCCAGAGTAGGCTCAGCAAGAGGAACACATGCAGAAACTGGGAGCATACAATTGTGCAGAAGTCAGGATTGAGCCTTGCCATGTTGGACAGAAAGACTACATTTACGAATTAAACTAAATTACAAGGAGAACTACATGGCCATATTATAAGTCTAATTAAAACCAGCAAATACAGGTATTTCATGTTATTACCACAGGTCATTCATTACAGACATAATCTTGCAGGATGTCAGGCTTTCTGGGCTTGTTCTAGCAAAGGGATTAAGTATGTGACCACAGATTCATCCACTTACCTTCAGACACTTGACTCAGAAGTGATCATCCCCTAAACTCTCTCCATACTTAATGGTGAAAGAGAAAGGAATTTCTCAGGATTTTTCAGCCTCATATAATTTCTACAGCATTTATAGAAAATAAATGATTCTAAAATAATTTAAGATCCTGAGAAGAAGAGTACTCTGCACAATATTTTAGTTTGTGCTTCACACAACAGAAAAACAAGCAGCTAAGCTTATACTGAAAATACCCCAAGCCCAAAAGTTTTCCTAGGCTAAAACCTGAAGATCCACTTCAGACTATAATTCCTTAAGCTCAGCTTAGCTACCAGATTTAATTTTAGCTTTCAAAAGATGCAAGGGGTTCTTGTAAAGGAATGAAAGATCTTTTGAAATCCAAAGGAACATAACGGTCTTACAAGAAAATAATTAGTATTTCAATTAATGTATTTTTAAAATTATAAGCTTCATGAGAAGATTTCACACTTGTAATGAAACATTCTCATTGTAAATCAAGAAAGCAGAACAATAGGACAAAACACTTTTATGCCAACTGAGCTTAAAGTTACTGACTGACTTTCCCTCTCTGGTCAGTCACTGAACTCCTTCCTACCTCAGTCAGCCCAGGTGGTAGGAGCAATAAGAATCTCTTTTTTCCCCTGAATATGTGAAATGTAGACTTATATTGCACCACAGATGGGAGACCAAATCCTAGAAACACTATCCAAGAAATCGCTGGGTAAACAACAAAATATGAGTCACCTTTGTAAAAAATTAGCCTTATGCAAAATGTATTTCTCCCTAAAATCTATTTTAACAGTCTGTAATACAACTATCTGATCAAGTGTTTACCATAATAAGGGCTAAGGATTTTATCCTCAGGATATAAATACCCTCAAAGTTGAGAGCTAAACAATTAAGAAATCACAAAAGTAAACTGGGCTTTAAGTTCAAATTTGTCAGAGATTACTTTGTACTAATTTACCATCCTGGCACAGTAAATGCATATTTATGTCAACTCAAGTGATGCAACATACATAGAAGTACTTGTTGCCATGAATTAAAGGCATGATGGAATACAGGAGAAAAGACATCTAAAAGAAAATCTCACCTCTTTGTGATCTTCCACAACTGTCAGGATAGTGTCAATTGTGTGCAAGATGCCCATGGCCATAACTGTTTTGTCCTCTACTTCCTCATATTCCTCACTCTGAAGTACTTTACCAAATATTTCAGCCTATGAAAAAAAGCAATCAACCTGACATTCAAGAACAAACACACATTTCTAATCTGCCACGCAAAACCAAGACAGCTAGTGCCACAGCAGCAATGCCTTATCTGTAAGAGCTGTCAGCACACAAAAAATATGCTCCTTACTTTTGAAAGGGGAATACAGAAAATTAAAAACTCTTCTTTTTTTTTTTTTTTTTAGAAGTCTGGCTATGTTAAGTCATTTGAAATGTTAAATAGTTAGAGCTTGGCTCATTAAAACCAGTGACAAAATTCAGTACCTTTGAAAAACCTATGGGTTTATAAGATACTCCATACAGAAGAAATTAAAATATTGTGAATACTATAGGTGGACCTTTATAAAGATTACTATAAGCAGTGTGTACTGCAAACAAAGTTCATTAAATGTTTACCAAACTAGGCATGTGCTTCTGACTAGACTGTTATTTTACTGATTTCTCTTACCAGGTGTTGAGTCATGTCAACGGCGATGGTAGCTACTTCCTGACTGTACTCGCAGATCATCTTCTGGATTACATTAGTAAGATCATCATTTTCAGTCTCTCTAACAATATGCAAGAGCTCTTGCATAACTGGCCTGACATAAGGCTTCACGTATTCCTTGGCTAAAAAAAAACAAATGAAACCAAGTCAAATCAACTATCCATAAACACAAATATACAGTACCTCAAAACTACCGGGTAACTGACTACGCTCAAACAAAACAATTTCTTAAAGTTTAATTCACTAAAAAAACCAAACTCTATCCAAGGTACTTTTATAGCCCATAACTAGTACAGTAACAAAATAAATAAATTGTACATTTATCACATTCAACGCTGAAACGCCATCTACAACAAAAATCCACTGTTTTGGGGGAATACATGCTCTCGTACATGGACAACATTCATACACACTATTTCACTTCACTAAAGAAAAACAAAGACAGGTGCTATTCACTTTATTAAAAGAAATACGTTGATTCTAACTTCTTTTGTGCAGAGACATGCTGTAAAAACTTGAAGTCAGAATTCTGGGACATATACAGTTACTAACGAGCAAGTGAAACTGTCTAAACGTGATGAAATGTTCTGAAATCTATGTATTTAAGTGGTAGAAATGTTTAGATAAATGTGCACCAACCTCTTCATCTCTACCAAAAAGAAAAAAAATCACTGTATACAGCTGATGAATCATCGTAGCATACCTTGCTCTTGGTTGCTTATTAACGTCTGAAGAGCTATGGCTGCTTCTACTTTGACAGGCATTTCTTTATCATCAATCAAGCTCTTCTTTGCCAACTCTACTGCATTCCTCAAGTTTAGCTCATTGTGAAATTTCAAAGCACTGAATGAATGAAGTACCCAACAGGACTGCAGGACAAAAAGAATAGCAAGTTAGGGACTACTGAAATTTATGGCATTTTAATTGATTAAAAACCAATGCTATCTATCTCTCTGGTTTCTTTTTTTGTGTGTGTGTGTATGGTGTATTCATACAGTAAATGTAATACAGTTTTTGCATTCAAGCAGTTCTTCACTTTCCCAAATTCCAATCAATGCAGTACGCACATAATTGGCATTCATAGTTTTAGTCCTTCTGAGGGAAAAAAAACAGAACAGAAATTAAAGAAAATTAACTGTTTCTGACTGATATGGGCACTCAAGGATTTTCTTCAAGCTACAGTCAAACTGACATTATATCTACTCTGGAAATCCTACCTATTCTTCACAGCCATCCAACTACTCTAGTGATTGAGATCTGCTAGCGAAAAATGGTTACAAATGTACCACAATCACAGCTCAAATTCTCCAGCCTGATCAAAGAGGTAAACAATAATATGCCATACACTTTCCATTTAACTGACAGATCATTTTTTAAATAAAAATGCTGAAAAATTACTGTACAGGGTAGATATTTGAAATTTTACTAAGTATTTGCTTTATTTCTTTCATTGACATTCAAAATGAAGTCAAACTGCAAAGGACAGAATCATGGCAAATACTGAAATTGATATAACTGGTGAACTTACTCTAGCTCTGAGGTACCCCAGGTTAGACATGAACAATGGAAATACATGATTCTGTAACATCAGCTCCATTTGATCCTTGAAGACACTCTTCTGTTGGTGTAAATAAAAACTGATTTTGGAGACCATTCATTTTACATACTTCATTTGAGCCAGTAATCCATTTCAACTATCAGCCACGGGAAATACAATGATTTGTCTGTGTAATAAAGGTATTCTCTCACAAAGAGATCTGCATGTCATATCTTGAACTGAACAAACCTCATAAGCACAGCAAGTTCAAAGCCAGATAAGTGAAAGAACCGTACATCCAATATTCAACTCTACATTATTCATTGCAACACTGTAAGCAGGAGTTTTCTTTAAGACAATTGATTCCAGCTGATTTTTCTCAAAAATTAATTAGGATCAATAACCTAATATCTCCATTCTTCCTGCAAAGGAGTAGATACATAGCTGAAGATAAATATAAGTGTAGAATGAAACAGATGTTTTAAATCACCAACTGTTACTATACACATCAAAACTAATTGTTTTACAAACTACAACAATAACTCACATCTTTTTTGTTTATTAATGGACTAAGATAATTCCTGTGTGACAGAAATCTCCTTGGCTGGAGATGGATATTCAATGAAAATTATCCTTCATTATTCCAACCTTGGCAAATCCCAAGATACTCACAGGAAGCCAGGACCTCCAGCATGGAGACTTGGGACTTTTCTAGCACCCACAGCCCCAGGATACCAGAAAAGATATATGCTGGGGACTACGTTTCCATCTAAAGGAATGATTCAGTAGCTAAGCTAGGAACAGGGTGAAAGGAGACATTCAATACAAAATGTATCTTAGGTGATCACACTTCTACTTCACCAATGAATACATCATTTTTTCACCACACCGATTCCCAGACCTTCAGAGAGGCAGATGAAGAACTGAGCAGAGAAAAAACACAGAGAAGGGAAAAGAATTCTCCCTTGTGCACACAGGTCAGAGGTTTGCATGCATTAAACTGGAGCCGCTGTGGAGAGCCAGGTGGCTAAGGGAGGGTCATTGTGTCAACGAGCTCCTTACAATCTATCTCAGTCAGCTCACTGGCCAGAAAGCACTTATAAATTTAGTATTTTTTGCAGAAACACTTAATGGAATTTTTCAATCTGCCAAATCCCAAACACAAGAAATTCAGAGTTGAGAGGAGTCTGCAGTGTTTGAGGATTATTATGCTTTTATAAAGTATATTATAACCTCATGTTTCAAGACTGAAAATTTCAAATAGGAGCAGTATATTGGAATAAATTCCTTTTTTTATCCTCAGGACAGAGATAAATAGGTTTAGAATCCCCCAGTCAATATGAAGGGCCCCTCACAACATGAAAAATGTCTTCCTCTTTCACTGCTATACTCCAGCACGAAGGAGGGCATTCACAACGCAATGTAATCTACCAAAATTCTGCAAAAGTTACTGATATTTCAGGATTTCAGATCAGATCCTGAATTGGTACATTGGTAAAAAAACAGATGTTAAACATTGGGAAGATGTACCTTGTAACATGAAGACACATCCTGCACAGAGAGACAACTCACATTAAAAAATAAATTACTTTAAAAAGGAAGCCTCCAGCACCAGACCACCATTCTCAAGCTAAAAGCGATAACTTTTTGGCAGTTACTTTTGACATGGAGAGAAGGCATAGTTTGGACTCCACCTTCTACAGAAGCATAAAGGAAACTAATCAAGATTGCATTACAGAGCAACAGTATGGATTAAATGTGCATTCAAATTCCAGAAAAATACTCAAAATTCTGAAGATAGCTACTGTCTATAAAGAATGGAGGAAGGAGAGAAGTTCTGTGCTCTTTCCAGTTATTTTCAAAACTCCCAGCTGGCTGATAAAATAAGACTTAAAACCACACATGATAGGGTACAAAAGCTGGAAAGCTAGACAAAACATTCCTGCAACATGTTAAGTAAACATTTTTCTGGAACCAGAAGCAGCCCACAATAGTGTGTGTGGGGAGGTTTGCTAAAGAATCATAGGCAATATTATCGATGGAATGCATGTTTGTTTTTTTAATACCCTTCCATTTTACTAGTAAAGCAAGAGAGGACCAAGGGACTGTTCTGTAGCAAACAAACAAAGGTTTGGAGAAACTTGAGAGAAAAATCTGCCTATAAAATGGGAATATAAAAAACAGGAAAGAATGTTAATATTTTTAAAGAAACAAACCCTCAGATTCTTATTGCACAGTGCAATCTCTCTACAGACTTCATAAATACGGCTAAGGGCTGGCCATACCTTATAAGTCAAGACACTTTTATTGGAAATACCAGTCAATAATAAGAATTACAACCCTTTTTTACTTCTTTACCTGCTTACCTTCAGTAAAATATCTGCTAGGGATCCTATAACATGCAAAGCTCCATCCTTTTTCCTTGGATCAATGTTTGGCTCTGTTAGAATCTGGTAGCAATATGCCATAATTTTTGGTAATACCTATGCAAGACAGAAAACACACAATCTCCTTTTGTCAAATTATTTTAAAGGCCTTAAGTAAAAATATTCATATGACATTTTTAAGTAGAAATTTGATCTTGGCCAAAGCAACTGTGAGGTACTATGTGTAGCATCTTTCCATAGTTAAAATTTAGAAGGTTCTTTCTTCAACTTTTTGGCCAAATTTGTCAAAATTAAATTAATATCCTTGAAATTTCATGTTAGTAATAGTAAATAAGGTATTTTTGTTGTCTTGAGGCAAATCAAAAAAAGGTGATGGAAAGGCATGAGGCTCAAATAACAACTCACTTCATTTGTTTCCCTTCTCTTCTCTTCTTGCTTGTCTCACACATATATAAATACATACATGTGTATACATATATACATATACATATTCAAGAACAGCTTGGACTAAAACATCATAAACTTACTTTAATTTATTCATTTTGGCAGTAACTTCTAAAGTTGATGAGACTTAGAAAGGTTTCCTGGCAAAACCAATTGTTTAATGTCATTGCCAACCATTATGTGCTTTTCAGATATTATAACATTTTGACGGTCCCAGTGTAAATTAGGAAAATGAGAAGGTCAGTGGGCAAGGACTGTTTTGATAATGAAGAATTAGAAAGGTCACAGGCTATTCCACCTTATGTAAAGCCTATGCTCTTCTCTGAAAATCCATCTGGAAAAGGAGCTCCGTGTTTACTGGATGTTAAAACAGTATCCAGAAAAGAACTCCGCAGTTTTAGCAAACTGACATGATTTTCAAGGCTTGGCCAGGTACTTTTGCACACATCACTGTAAGTATAGACAGATCTACAGAAAAGTTATATCCTTGTTTAAAGAGCAGCTGTACAAAATTGGTTTCATTCTTGCTGATTTCATTGCTGTCAACAGGATTTTAAATAGCATCAGTGAAAATTAATAAGGATCAGGTTCACTTTTCCCTCTGCTACAGTTTGGATATCTCAGAACAGCCATGACAGAGGCTGTAAACTCGAGAAAATATCAGTACATGATTTCCAACTCAGTTTGTATCCAGCAGGTTAATTTTGAAGCTGTAAGAGGAATCTACTTATTTTGTATTTATACATACACACACATTTTAATTCTCCCAAAATTGAAGGCACTCAGCCAGGAAAGTGTTTGACTATGTATTAGGAAGCAGGTTTTTCAAGACTAGCTTCCTGTAGCATCTTCAAATTTAAGGGAAAATGACATTAAGAGAACTTCAAATAATTTAAAAAAAACCTGTTCCATACCTCTTTTCTCTTCTTCGCAGCAGTATAAAGGAGATTCTGTGCTGCTGTTGTAGTGGATGCATAATCCTCAAATACATCTAACAAATTTTTTTAAAAAAAAGGCAAAAAATAAATATTTCCTTTTCTGAATTACATAATAATATTTTCATATAACACCTTGTTTGTGGGATATAAAAAAAATCAGCTTGAATATGCAACTTCAAAACTATTGACAAGGTTGTCTTCATGATTACAGAGTCAGACACAAGCTTATGTCACATAGCTGATGAAAGCATTTATTTCTTGCCTTCCAAAACTACTACCACTCATCATTCCCTTAATTAGGAGTGCGTTATTTATTCATTAATTCTTTTGAGACCATGTACTTAAGGGATGAAAAATCCTGGCTTTTTTTAAATTAAAAGTACTATAGGAAGAACAACAACACATTCCAGTACCATCTGTATAGCATGCGTACACAATTTAGGCTTGAGTTTATTAAAACCCCATGGGAAACTTTTTGTATGCAAAAACTACTTGGATCTGGGGTAGTTTTAAATCTGCTGAAAGCTGAAGCTTTTTACCTTCATTCATTACAAGTAAACCTCCTTTAATCATATTGAAAATATAATTTATATCTTGAAAAAAAAATCTGTGCTGCCAAACATGTTCTAATCTAAACATCCCCACACAAATTGAATTAAACAAAAAGATCTAAAAAGGTAATCTTAAAATGGGGGTAAAATTACACACTAACTTTTCCTGAGAACTTGAAGATAAAATATGATTAAGAAATACTACCAGACTACTGGAATTTTTGTTCCAAACTAAAATGTGTCTCACTAAACTTCAATTTAATGTACTTTCATGCTTGGTGGTTTTTTTTACCTTCCACAATACAATTTAAATATGTATTTAACTGTTTTAGCTAAATTTAAAAATAGGATTCATTACTTACACAGAAAGAACTGCATCCATATAACAAAAATCAACAACATATTTGTACCCCAGTGATCAACACTATACCTTAACTGATTTTTTGCATAACAACTCTCAAAGTCTTTTTAATTATTCTATGAACATTTAAATTCTGTTTTCACATATGCTAATCACAAATCAACAAATTAAAAATTCACAAATGCTACATATCTCTGTGGTGCCTGGCTTAATGCAGTTTCCCAGCTAAACTTGCTTTATTTTTAAAGTAGCCTTCTCTTTTTCAATGATGTGACTCTTTTATTAAAAAGTAATTATTCATAATATGGTCCTGTGTGATATTTCCAAGGTTTTGCACTGTATCTT